ATTGGTGTGGGGTTTAGACTGCGCACCCAAAATTAAGCATTTCTCGTGGAAGAACCTTAGGGGCGCCCTCCCGGTGGGAGAGAAACTAGTGGAACGCCACATCCCCGTGGATCCGCTATGTAAAAGATGTGGAGTCTCGGAATCTATCACTCATCTGTTCTTCCATTGCCAGTTTGCACGACAGGTTTGGGAACTTGCCCCATTTGCAAATGGTTTGAATGTCAGCGGAATGATAGATTTAGTCTCCTTTTGGCCGGAAATTTGTTCAACTCACTGCTTGCCTCCGTCGGGAGTTACCAATGGATCGCTTGCTCTCTGGATTCTCTGGGGTGTTTGGAAGGCAAGAAACAGGTTTGTGTTTGAAGGACACTCTAGTACTCCTGATGAGGTCTTATCCAATGCAATTAAACTAGCAAGAGAATGGGTGGCAAACCTGGAGCAGGGGCCCTCAGCTTCTTTTCATCGCCCTCCAGTTTCGAATATGCCTCCATACGCGACTGTGGTGCGTTCTGATGCAGCTTGGAATCCGAGAGAGATGAAAGCAGGACTGGGCTGGGTTGTCTTCACAAACTCTGAGATACGCCCGTTTATGAAGACTTGCCCACGGGTTGCCTCGGCACTCATGGCTGAGAGTTTGGCTCTGCGAGAAGCAGTACGATGGGGAATGAGGAAAGAGTTGAAAGTAGCCTGCTTTGAATCTGACTCAGCTCAGCTGATAAAGAGCTTAAACTCGGGAGAAATCCAGCCAGAGATTTATGGAGTTATTGCTGATATTTTATCTTTTGCTTCTACCTTTGAATTTGTTTCTTTTACGTGGATTTCTCGTGAGAAGAATATCCAAGCAGATTGTGTAGCAAAGAAAGCCCTGCTTCTTGCTGAACCTTTGGTGGTTGATGGAGAAGTTATTGCTCCCAACTAACCCCCTGTTATGAATTAATATATGTGTTTCAAAAAAAAAAAAAAACTTCTATTTTATATTCTATCCATACTTAACTAACTAACTACGTTGGTTTCGGTCTGCAACTTGTAAAGCAGCATGTACTAAACCGTTGGTTCTGGATCATTCAGATACTTGTTGGTAAGGGACCTGATCCAACTCGGCATTGTAGTAGAGAACATCATGCTCTGACGTTTCTCAGGCAACCTTTCCAAGCTCCCTCATCTGCTGCTGCCCAATGGGTGTACCTCCGTAAACACAAATAGTATCCAAGCTTGGAGCAGACTCCCTAAGCTCCCTTGTCGGTGCCAAAACCAAGCAAAGAGGATTCTTGCCACATCAAGAAAGGTAAACATAAGTGAAGAAAAACCCACCCATGTTTGGCGTTGAATTTGATGATTTTTGTCGATGATGGGAATCCCAAAAGCAAGAGTCTTTCCAGTTCCTGTCCTAGCAGGACCAGTAATGTCACGGGCTTGCATCGCTGAGTCAAGCACAGCTTTCTGTTTCAACCAAACAAACACAAACTCATCTCATTTACTATCATATCAGTGAACAACAAAATAAGATGATTATGGTGGCCGTTCAGGCGCTTTGGTGGTCGAGATGAAATAAGAGAAAACTTGTTTTCCTTTAGAACCAGAGTGTTCATGTTTTGATCAACATTAATTGATTGTCCTAAAGCTGGGATCTATCAAAAAGAGTTTGTTTTCTGAAATTTTAATTGCTCTAATGAATTTGACCAAGTACAATAAGCCTTTTCTTCTTTGACCTGTATGTGAAGATCACCTCTACTAGAGTCTAGAGCTACGCTTCAGAATTAGCTTGATCTTGAACGTTTTAAATTGCATGTTACAATTTTTTTTTTTTATGTTTTGAATTTGTTAGTTTAATTCGACCAAAAAAACTATTTACAATGAATGCAACTTTGGATTTAAAGAAAAGAAATTTCGGAAACTTTCAACCAGTGTGAATCCTCAATGTGTACCGAAACTTTAAGGGAAAATAGCATAAAAAACCTTCAAATTGACACTCACTATCACTTTAAACCTTGAACTTATTTAACTAGCATATTAAACATTCAACTTTACATTTGTATCACAAAAAACCTTCAACTTGACTTACTTGTTCGTCAAGTTAAAACTGTGACTTGTTAACCTACAATAGTAGGTCACATGTTGTTTTTTTATTTTTTTATTAATAATTGCAATTAACAATAAAAAACCTAAATAAAATTAGAAAATTACAGAAAAAATTCTAAAATTGAATTTAATAAAAATCAAAATATTTTCTTAAAACTTCAAAGTTTTTAAATTGAAAATTTTGCAAATTCAAAAATTTTTAAAAAAAATCATCTAAAAACTATTAAATATTCTCAGAAAAAAATAAATAATTTTATACATTATCACCATTAACTTGAACACTCTCTGTAAGAATAACATATTTGGTTATATCGCTAATGACAATAGTGTCAAAACTATTGTTATTTTTATATAAGAAATTATCATCGTTAAAGATATCAACAAAATTAAACGTTTAAAACTTACAAAACATTATTAATTATGATATGATGAAAAGTGTTTCTTTTACTAGTGGTATATCCACACTGTTTATTTTTGAATAACATTTTAAAGCATTTGCCTTATAAGCTTTTTAAATGTTTAGTTAATAATAATAACATACAAATAAATATGACTTAGAGGTTATCTTTGATATTAAAAAAGTTGTATTAAGAGTTAAAATTTTCATATCGAAATCATCATATAGTTGTCGTTTTTATTAACAAAATAAAAAAAAATCTATCAAGATATTAAATTATTAGTAAGATACATTAATATAATTATGGGGAGAATAAAATTGCTTTAGTTGCTATTAATATGACCATTAATAATAATGTCGTATGGTTAGAGAAAATAAAGGGGAAGACCAAGATATTAAAAAAAAGATCTAAACAACTTTCGTAGATAGATTTTTTAAGACTCATTCCCTTTTAATAGTACTGATATAGTTTATAAAAAATATACACTCATATATCACAAAATTTCATTTAGAATAAAAATAAAACACTTGTATATTCTTAAGAAAATATTTTGATTTTTTTTTTAAATTAAGATTTTTGAATTTTTCTGTACTTTAAAACAAATATTTTTGAAAAATGACACGTTAAAAAAAAAATTTAAGAAGATATTTTGGTTTTTATTAAATTCAGTTTTAGATTTTTTTCTGTAATTTTCTAATTTTATTTAGTTTTTTTTATTTATTGTTACTTGTATTTATTAATTAAATAAAATAAAATAAAAACAACATGTGACCTACTATTCTAGGTTAACAAGTCACAATTTTAACTTGACGAACAAGTAAACCAAATTGAAGGTTTTTTGTGATACAAATGTCAGGTTGAATGTTCAATATGCAAGTTAAATAAGTTCAAGGTTTAAAGTGCTAGTGGTCGACGACGCGTGCACTTTAGAGTTTGTTTTAGGGAAAATTCCTTAAAAATACATCAACTGAGTTTCTTTTGCTAAAAAAATACATCAATTTTTTAGACTTCCCGAAAAATACACAGAGTAATTTTGGTTGTCTATAAAATACATGAACTTTTGAATTTTGAAGGTTTCACACCTCGATTTTAACGGCGTTAACTCTGATTAACAGAACATTTAGACGCCGTTAGATGCCGTTAGACGACGTTAACTCTGATTCAAAAGTTCATGTATTTTGTGGACAACCAAAATTAGTCTGTGTATTTTTCGGGAAACCAAAAAAGTTCGTGTATTTTTTCAGTAAAGAAAATTTAGTATGTGTATTTTTAAGGAATTTTCAAAAATATACTAAGGTGGCAAAGACATTGATTTTTTTGTTTGACTGAAAAATGTAATTTTTGAATATATTTTGTTCATATTGAGGCCGATTTTTCTAGGGTCAGTTTGGATCTATATTTAAAATACGTGTAAAATACCAGTAATTTTTGGATATGTATCATGTAATAGAGAATGTGTTTTTGTTTGGGTCGGGTTTGGGCTGGTTCTTTTCGGATCTAAGATATCCGGATCTAAGAACCGGCCCAAACTCGACTCAAAGAACTGAACAAAAACACATTCTCTTCCACATGATACAGATCCAAAAATTACTAGTAATTTCCACATTGTTCAAAATATATTAAAATACGTGAGTATTAATATGAACAATGTGTTTTTTTTTGGATTCTTTATATTTTAGTTCGTGGAAAATACTGGTAATTTTTGGATATGTATCATGTGGAAGAGAATGTGTTTTTGTTCATGTCTTTAGGTCGGGTTTGGCCGGTTCTTAGATCCAGATATCTTAGATCCGAAAAGAACCGGCCCAAACCCGACCCAGAGACCCAAATAATACATTCTCTATTACATGATACATATCCAAAAATTACTGGTATTTTACACGTATTTTACTTATAGATCCAAACTCACCCTAGAAAAACCGTCCTCAATATGAACAAATATATTCAAAAATTACATTTTTCAGTCAAACAAAAAAATTCAATATCTTTTCTACCTTAGTATATTTTTGAAAATTCCTTAAAAATACACATACTTAATTTTATATGCTGAAAAAATACACGAACTTTTTTGGTTTCTCGAAAAATACACAGACTAATTTTGGTTGTCCACAAAATACATGAACTTTTGAATCAGAGTTAACGTCGTCTAACGGCATCTAACGGCGTCTATATGTTCTGTTAATCAGAGTTAACGCCGTTAAAATCAAGGTGTGAAACCTTCAAAATTTAAAAGTTCATGTATTTTGTGGACAACCAAAATTATTTTGTGTATTTTTCGGGAAGTCTAAAAAGTTGGTGTATTTTTTTAGCAAAAGAAACTCAGTTGGTGTATTTTTAAGGAATTTTCCCTTTGTTTTAATGTTAATCTTTATCTGAGACTGGGCCTGTAGGCCCATTTGTAAAAACTGTTACCTTTCCATTTGGGCATTAACCCACCCACCAAAAAAAGGAATTTACTTTCTATATATATTATTTTGGTCAGACAAATATGTTTTCTGTATAAATAAAAGTCTTCTGCGTAGATAATCCCGAAGAAAGGAGTTTGTAATTCCATCCAAGAAAGAAAGAGGGAAAGATGATAGAGGTGGTGCTGAACGATCGCCTGGGGAAGAAAGTGAGGGTTAAGTGCAACGAAGATGACACGATCGGCGATCTGAAGAAGCTAGTGGCGGCGCAGACGGGGACGAGGGCGGAGAAGATTCGGATTCAGAAGTGGTACAACATCTACAAGGATCATATCACTCTCAAGGACTACGAGATCCACGACGGCATGGGTCTCGAGCTCTACTACAATTAGTAGGTTCTTTTTCTTTAATTTTTTTTATAATTCTCTTTAAATTTTCTTGCAAATCTTATCAGCGATGTTGTTTGTTGTTATAGTTTTGTGTTTAGGGAACAGAATTGAATCAATTCTCTGGAAAACTCAAAAAGTCCTTAAAACAATTTCGTTTACAAGGTTTCACCTTGTTCTTTATTAAAACAAAAAGATTCAAGTGAAACTGATATAATATATATGATTCGAATTCTCTTCTTTGGATTAAAAAATTGCCAACTCCAGTGTTTTCTTGATCAACTTTTAGGCTTTTTTTTTCTGTCTAAAATTGTAGTTTGCGTAATCTCAAAACGTTCTCAAGAGTTTCGATTCAGTTTGGTTTATTATTACTCATGACGCAGACAATAGGAAGCTACAATGGTCTTTTTGAGATTTAAATCTATGACATTGCTGTTGTAGTGTTTTTGGTTCTATTTGAATTGATGGTGATTTGTTTGTTTCACCTATTCCAGGCGAACCGAACCGGAGGTGCTAAGCAAAGGATGTAAAAATCGCAAAAAAAACAAACATTATGTCTGTAAAATTGGCTGATTGGTTTCTGATTATGTTATGCTTTGGTAAAACTAAAATCAAATGTGTTGTAATAAGCTCTACTCTTACAACTTTTGTCTACGGTACTTGTCTCTTGGTGTGCTTTGTTTCTTGATGTTGCCCATATCTTCTTGGAAATGCTTCTATATTTTGTTCGTTTAGATTAACAATCATCTGTTGACTTTTCCAACTTACTCGCGTTGCTAAAAGACCCTGAGAGAAATAAACTTCAAGAGTACGTATTATTGCAAAAGCCAAAAGTCAAAAGCAAAAGAATCTTTAACTCCGCTAATCAAAAAGATAAAGACATATGTACTATGGACATCGAAACCAAACACAATTTGCATTTAAGTTTTGAAGTAACCGATGAGTCAATTGAAAGATAATAAAAGAAGGGGGAGCGAAGAGTCTCATAGAAGAGAAGAAGTCACTGTTTCCTTTAAATCTGTCTGCAGCGGATCCTTGGAACTTCAGAAGACGTGCAAAATCCAAAAGGTTTCTCCTCTCCTTATGTGATCTTCTCTCTTAGCCGATCAATAGATTTTCTTGAAATTCTTGTTCTTGTTTTTGGGAGTTTCAGTTTCAGACATGTCTTATATACCTCCACATAAGCGACACTCAAAGGATCCAGACAGACCTTCCCCTGTTCCAGATTCTCTTGCTACAAAATTCAAGAAGAACCTCCATCTCAACAGTAGTAGCAGTGATAAACGCAACCGTATTATATACTCAGGAGATTCTATTACCAAATGGTTTCTTATTGGTTCCAATGGAATTGAAGATGCGATTCCTCCATCTGCTAAGCTTGTTCCCTTGACCTCAGATTCTGTACAATGCAAAAAAGGACAAAAGCCTTCAATACTGATGAACATCAATGATCATAAACGTAAGAGACTGTGTTTGTTAGTTTCTCTTAAAGTATAGTTTGGACTTTGCCAAAAGAAGATGCATCGTGTCAGTTTTAGTGTGATTGTGTATGTGTTATGAATATTTCAGAGAGTGAAGAAGAAGAAGAAGTAAATAGAACTAGGTGGCTGTTGATAGCAGAGAAGGTCCAGGAGGATCTTTTGTTGGCATATGAACGAGCTAAGATTGCAATGGAGGGAGAGAATCAACATGTATTAAGATTGACTGCTAGCTTTGGTACAAATTTCTTCTATGAGTAAGTGTGGCTCAGCGTCTGAATCTTACATTATGTTCTCTTTTATTAATCTCTGACACATACAACATTAAAACAGGCCTCAAGCTGGTCATCCTATGGCTGAATATACCCCAAAACCCTCGAATAAGATCTTCTCTACTGATGTCCCAACTTCTTACTTAAACTACATCAAGTCTCAGATTGTACCAAGTCATGGATTCTGTATTGACTTGGAGAAGGAAAGATTCTCTGTGAAGGTACTTGTTTTGTTTTGTTTTCTTACGAACCTAAACTGCGGAATGTCATATGAAGTATGCTTGTGTCTGGTTTCTATTCTTAGGTATCACATTATACTCGTCCTAATCAAACCATTAACTGTAAGTGTACTGTTAAGGAAGATGGAAGGCTTAGTTTGTACAAGGCAAGTTTCTAGTTCTTTGTGTATACAAACAAATAACTTCATTGAGATATGTTGTTCTGAGAACATATGATTCATCTCTTCATTTTACATTATAGCTTGAGTCTTGGTTTTTGCTACAGGTTGACCTTAATCTTGTAAGGCATTTGGTTATTGATGTATCTTGCGTTAATAAGAATCTTGACATGAGGCTATTGCTATCTGCGAAAAGGAAAATCACTGATCTCACTGTAAGTTAATTTTGACATAACAATGATAAAAGAAACATACTTGGACTTATCTTTGGTGATTTTTCTATGTTGAGCAGGAGAAAGAGATAAGTGACATCAAAGGGCTGCTTGATTCAGCTACAGTTGATCCAAGTGTAAAAGGTGGTTTAAGGTGGCAGTTTGGTAAATCTTCATCTGGGAATGGATACAGTGTGTTTGAAGTTTGTCATGTTAAAGCTACAGTCTACAAGAACCAAACTATAAGGCTTAGGGTGAGAGAGACTGATAGGTTCAATGAGAGAATTGGAACAGGGGAAGTCAAGAGGGAGGTGATTCTAATGCTTAAAGACATGAACACCAAGTTACAGGTCCAATATTGTGCTCTCTTGAGTCTTTGAAACTCTACTGGAGTTGAAGGTTATTTTGTTTTGTTGTCTGCAGGAGCATAACATTGACAAGGGTTGTGTTTTGGAAATGCTTAGAGATGTTCTTGGAACCTTGTGGGACTTCTTGCGTTGTGAAGCCTATCTAACGTGATAAAAAACGATATGATTTTCGATCTTGCTGTTGAATTTCTCACTTTCTTTTAGATTCTGTTGAGCTATTGGTACAATATATGCTTTTAAGTTTCTGTGTGGGTTGTGAAAGATTTTGCGTGTTGTCCAAAAACGAATAGAATTTGTGCTATTGCGTTTCTCTTTTGCGTTCAGCTTGTTTTTTTTGTTCAATATCAATGTTTGTGTCTTAACGTTGAAGTTATCTTAATTTTTTCCAACATATACAACACAAAAAATCAGGCGGCAAGTCGGTCTTCTGGCTGAACTTCCGCTAAAATACTTTAAGAAGCTTTTCTCACTACACATGCCCCAACTTCTAACTTGCAAGTTATTATCCATCATTGGAGTCCTTAAGATTAGATTAATACTCCCTCTGTTCCTTAAAAATACATATTCTTGAAAAAAAATTTGTTTCTAAAAGATCTATTTTTTACATTTTCAATGCATGTTTTATTAACTAATTGTAAACTTCAAAAAACTTAATTGCACTTATTAACTTTTTATTGGTTTAAAATTATGGAAAAAAATAAATACAAAAAACTATGCAAATTTATTGTGTTTTATTAAAAAGTGTGAAAAAACTAGAATATATATCTTTTAGGAACATATGAAGTATTTTTTATATTTTGGATAATAGTTAAGGATCCTAATGAAAAATGTATCTCCAATGGTATTTCTATTATAAAATCTTTAGATACTAAAAATAATAAAATTGTAAAACATGTAAATTTAAAATTTTGACTTGGATGATTAATAGCTGAGAAACTAATCAAAAGAAGTAGGAGAAAGGAAAGATGGTACAAACTTTGGTTAAGTTGCGAAGATCATATGTGAAACCAGTGGTCGTCAACCATGCAACTTGAAAGAGGCTACAACAGATAACAGAATCAGTGAATTAGAAAACATGTTAGATCCTAGAAACATCACACCACAGACGGTTCCTGTCAAAGTAGTCATCACAACTTCTTTACTGGTAGTTTAGAGTCTCCTAAAACAAAAGCTTAAACATCACACCACAGACGAGGTACACATCTAGCATATAAAGGTTTTCATACTTAACTTCTAAACAAACTTCCAACGTAAACTCCCTGGCGCCACACAACAAGAAACAAGAATACATCAAAACTTTATTCATCAGTCTTCAACAACGGTTGCACAGCTTCCCACATCTTCTTCTTCTGAACCTGCAACAACAAAGACAAATCACTAACACTAAGAGAGAACTTTGTTACTGAAATGAATTAGAATCAGCTTCTGCAACAACAAAGACAAATCACTAACATCTTCTTCTTCTGAATCTGCAACAACAAGCTCGCTTGTGTGCCGGAGTCTCAGCTTCTGCAAAATCCTCTTCATGAGGAACTGAGAGACTGAACCTCCTCTTAGCTGCACCTGTTTGCTCACGGTTAGAAACTTTTGCAGCCTTCTGTTTATACTAATGATTATGAAACCAAAGTGACAATTAATAATTTACTCCCAACATCAAGAAGAAAGAAACAGAACAGAAAAGCCAGGCACAAGTGATATGCATGCCCCCACCTTTGATCATTTTGATGCATCCACAAGAAACTAGTTATGATTTTTTAAATATAAAGTTTCTTGACTTCCATCTTCATAGACAGCCTGAACCATATGAAAAAAATAACGTGTACCACTGAGAGGAACATTTCAATAGGCTAATAGTTCACCACAAACAAATAAGAAGAACCAAGATACAATTTGGCCTTACCGTATATGTCTCTTTCTCGAAGGATCATATGAAGTAACCTCACCTTTATAATACAACTAGATTCTAACCCGCCCTCTAAAAGGGCGGGTATATTTTTTGTTTTAATTTTTTTGGTAAATTTAATTTGTATATTTGAATGTTTTGTAATCATATTTGTGTTTAATCATCTATCAATAATATAAAAGATTTAGTGTTATTAACATAAAGAAGTAATACATAAATAATAAATAATTAGACCAAACATTTACTAATTGGTCATGATCCTGTTTTAATAGATTATATATTTTAAAATTTGAAAATATATTTGAATTTGAGTTCAAAGTTTTTTTTTTATTCTTATTTTAGAATATGGGAGAAGAGAGCTTTTGGAAAATGTAAAAAGAAAATTTTTGAAAAGATATTTTTTAATTTATTCAAATAAATATATTTATGTAAATGAGTTAATATAGTATTCACTAACTTTAAATAAAATTACATTTGATAAATATGTTTTACAGAAACCCATTTAAAATATGTTAAAATAAATGAGTTTAAATGAATATCTATTTCTATTAAAAGTTCACTTTAAACCCATTAAAACCTATTTTAAGATCATTTTATTTGTAAATTGATAAGCTTAAAGTTTGTGTAAACATTCAGAATTTTAATAAATTAATGTCTCATAATTTCTTGGGCTGAGATGCAGTTAGAAAATATATGGTTTATTTTTGAAGTAAATAATGTTAGTAATAAGAGTTGGACACAACTTAATATCAATCGGGCATGATGCTATTTTAATAGTATTGATACCTGCAGTAAAAATGCAATAGCTCAATTACAATATAAAATGCAACCATCCGAGGTCCTAATCCAGATTCAGCCTTTTATAGAAAAGCACATAGCAAAGAGAAAACAAGCAACGACCCCCAAGCATAAAAATTCAAACGAAAGCAAATCAACCTTCAAATTAAAACCAAGAACACAGCAACAACCTCCAAGCATAAAAATAAACACCTTGGACCTCAGTTCATCAAAGGGAAACCCTTCCTCGTTCCCTGTGCTGTTTCCTTCGATAAATTCCAATTTCATCTCCTCTGGATAAACTCTATAGCCCAAAATCAGGGCTTATAAAAGTGAATTTCATCGCACAAAAGCAATGAAATTCGAAGCAACAGAAACTGAAATCTACCTCATTCTCGGAGAATCTGCCTGCAAAAGAAAACAAATTGAAACAAAATTCAAAAAATTAGTTGGGTTACCCAGAAAGGTCAAATCAGATCAAGAGTAATGGAAAGAGAAGACCAGCCTGGTCTTGTTAAACTTGAGGACTCACGAGTTTAGTCTTCACAGCGAGGAGTCAGCATCGGAGGAGGAGAAGAAATCTATGGATGGTTGTAGCATGAGACTTAGCGGTTGCAAACAGTATATGGACTCCATCTATCCAGCTTATAACGCTGCCACAATCAGTGTTGCTCACACCCTCTACTTTTCTCAGTACGTGCTCCCACGCTGGCTCGACCCTCTCCCTCGGCTTTCATCTTGATTGTTTGCATCTTTTTCTATCTTTGTGTGTTTACGGACGTGTTTAGGTAAAAGAATGAAGAATACATCCATACTAGAATGGATGAGACAATTTGCACACAAACTTGATCAAAATTTCTCTCTAAGCTCGTGCGCGTAATGTCAACACTCCAAAGCTAAAAAGTTCATACTATACTACATATCATATAGTATAGTCACACAAATGATTTCAGCAGTTACGAAATTGGGTTTCATCAATTAGATGGTTACGACATAGTGTAGAATACTCAGACACAAACACATAATCTTGTTATTTCTGTGTATGCCCCACAATGCTTTACCAATTTGGGAGAGAGGTCAAGGTTAGTGTTAACGTACATAGCAAGCGTACTAGGAAGTAGGAATCAAGATTATAAAAATGCTGGCATGTTCACCAAAGTAGAGATCATATATGTATGCTACAATGTACATACTGGAAAAGGCTAGCATACAACTATATTAATTCAATATATTATGGTAACATTATATTTGAGTGTTTTTTATCCAAATAAATTGAAACGATATTATACATGCATTACTAATTCATGCATTTAACTTAAGTTGTATTGATATATAAAACTAGCAAATTTTGGTAATAGTGAAAGATAAATAAATATGTTGCATTAAATTGAAAATAATACAAGAGATATGCATGACATATAAGTTTAAAGTAGGCGTTTGGGAAAAAATTAAGGAAATGCAAAAAGTTCCAAATCTCAACTGAATAAAGTTAAACAACGGGAAAATCAGCAACTGGGTTACTATGGGAGTTATGGGTTAAATGTCGTAACAAATTATAAAAAAATGAGAATCTGAAAACATATAATTCGAAAATATAAAAAGATATATTTGTTTATTATTTAAATATTTATTAAAAAAGGGGCACAAAAGTCTTTTGTCTCTTTAATGATACATCTTTTGATCATTTTCTTCATTAAAGACTTGTTTTTGTGTCAAAAACTTAAAAATTGACTATTTGAGAGAATTGCCAACTTTTTTTTTACAGGTTTAGATACTACAAAAACATTTCAATCAATAACAAATCAAATAATTTAAAAGACTATTTAGCCATTACAATATATATATCTATATATACTATACTTTAAAAATATTTATATTTTATAAAATATATATAACAAAAATACTTATGAAAAGTATTCAAAATATATATTGTCTAAAAAATGCTTAACATTAATTGTAAATAACTACTCTAAACTGATTATAATATCAACCAAATTATTAGTAAGATAAATTAAAAAACAGTTATAATAAATTTAATTAAGCTATATAAAAAGAGTAATATGATCCAGACATATTTATAGTTCTTAATTATTTTATATCTATCATTTTCTCTTTCAAAATTTTGTAGAAACGTCATAAATAAAATAATGAATTTTCAAAATTTAGATTAAAAGGTGACAAATTATTAAGCAAAATTCCTTTGGATAGCCATTTTTATCACAAAATAGCATTCAAAAGGAAAATGAAAGAGATTTTATCTAAATGGTAAATATACATTTATACCTAGGGTTAACTAATCTAGAATTAGGATTTAAAATTAAGGGGTAGTGTTTTGAGGATAGGATTTCAAATTTTAAAAACGAAAAATAAATATTACAAATTTTAAAACATAAAAATGACTGTTTGACAGAAACGTCATAATTTCATAAAATTGCAAAATAATGAATTTTCAAAATTTGGATTAAAAAGTGACAAATTATGAAACTATAACAATTTAAATCAAATTAGGTTACATATTAGTCATTCATTGGTTCAATTGGCTAATCTCAAGTTTTAGTGATTTTAATTGATATTAAATATAAATATTTTAAAAAACCGGATTAGTGGATCACCAAATTAGCAAACTGCGAATCCAGATCAAATTTATAAGCACTAATTAAATATAGAAATATATTAAATACAAAATATTATTACAGATTAATAAAA